ACACACACACACACACACACACACACACACACACACACACACACACACAGAGTTTTCTCTCTTAGGACAATGGCTTGTGTTTCTACTCAGCTTTTTAGGTTAGGGTAACAATGTTGCAGAAAGCCTGTGGCTACAGCTCAGCCCCTCTGCTGATGCTCTTGACACTAATATTCAAGGCAAATGTGTTAGCAGTTGGGATACATTGAGTCTTCCCTGGGCATGAGCACTTGGAGGCCAAGGCAGGGTGATCATGAGTTTGAGCCCTGTTTGGGCTACACAGAGTCCCTTTCTCAAAAATCAAAACAAAAACTAGAAGAACTTAGTTACAACAATGGTGCTGTGTCTTTTACACATCAGTGCACCTATAAAATTAAAACCAAAACCAAGTCTGTCAGAAATCAAAAGGAAATGCGGGGACACATACGACTGCAGCCATGAACTTTGCCAAATAAAGGCATGAAAACGCTAACCACCAACTACCACTATATGCCATCATTTCAGACAGGAAGCTGTTTTAACTCCAGAAGACCAGCTGACAGGATTCACTCTAGGATAGCTAGGGCTTCTTCCTAAGCAGTAATTAGTGGGTAGGGAAAGAGGGAGATGGAACAGAGAAAAAAGGTCAGAACTTCTCAGTTTCACACCTATAGCCTCTGCTACCATATGCTCAGGCCAAGATTTCAGGAATCTCCTTCTTATACAACTATCTTAGACAACAGCTAAAGACATCCATAGCTATAAGACTGTACCTCCAAAGCACAATGAAGACTAGTTAGAAAGTCCTGTTCAGTTGAGAATTGAGGACCAAAAGGACAAATTCAGAAGGCAGGCAAGAACACAGGCAAAATCTGATCAAATAGTCTACTCTCCACTCCCCTCCTCAATTCTTCCTGGAAGTATTTTTAGAAATGTTAGAAGACTTAAAATTTGACATAGGTTGACTGTTCCCTAGCTAAAATACTTTGTCAGGTGGATGAGAAGGCTCAGCCAAGTAACAGCACTTAACAACAAGCCCAATGACCAGGGTTTGATCCTTGGGACTCACATGGTGTAAGGAGAGAACTGATCCCACAGGTTATCCTCTGATTTCTGGTCTCTCACTTGCATGTCCCCATACTAAATAAATGAGTGTTTTTAAAGGGGGCTGGAGAGGGGGCTCAGCAATTAAGAAATAACACCCACTGCCCTTTCAGAGGACTCAGGTTCAATTCCTAGCACTACATGGTGGCTCTGTAATTTCAATCTGTAATTTCAATCCCAGATTATGTGACACCCTCTTCTGGACTTTGCAGGTACCAGGCATGCAAATGGAGCATAGACATGCATGCAGGCAAAACACCCATACATAAACAACAACAAAATCTACTTGGGATCAGAGATGTTTCCAATTTTAAATTAAAAAAAAATTAGTGGTATCATATTAATGCTCAAAAAGTTCTGGATTTAGAGGACTAGAAAGCTGGCTCAGTGTTGGTGCTCACTGTATGAGCAAATGTGAAGACTCTCAAGTTCAAATCCCCAGTGCTCACATAAAAAGCTGGATGTAAACCTGAATGCCTGGAACCCCAGTGCTTTGAGGAGGACCGCTGGGACTCATTATCCAAAAAACAGAGAACTCCAGGCTATGTGCAAGAGACCCTGTCTCCAGGGAATATGGAAGAAGCAACATATAACAACCAATGTCCTCTTCTACTTTACACATACAAAGTTTTAAAAAAAGTTTTAGACTTTGGAACATTTCAGATTTGGATTATCTGGAAAAGGATGCTCTGCTAGTAAGTGTACTTTTCCTTTTACCCAAGTACTTCTGAGAAAGGATTTTAAGGAAGTAACAGTGTTTACAAAGATTTAGCTACCTTTTTTTTTCATTTTAAAGTTTCAAATTTTTTTTTGTTTGTTTTTTCGAGACAGGGTTTCTCTGTGTGT